CCCATTTTGGACCCACCGGACAGCTGATCCCAGCCATTTTCGCGCCCTCGTTCAGCGAGGGGAGGGCGCGAAAATGGCTGCCGGCCATAGGGAAGCATTGCTGAACGGTGAGTATTCGGCCCAATTGGAACGCATTAAACCATGTTTAATGCGTTCCAATGGGTTTTTTCTTACCGCTCAGCAATGTTTCACACAGCGAGGGTTAATCCGGGATGGATTAACCTCGCTGTGCAAGGCACCACTGTACATGTTTTCCTTCCTTTCTCTCAGAAGCATGTCTCCCTCCCTTTCAGCTGTGGACATCAGATTCATTATTGTTATATCGCATTGCTAACCACAGCCACAACCACAAAGGTTGGATCCATTTCTAATGGTAGCGTGCAGTGGGATTTGGTGCCAACTAAGTCTGAAAATGCAAAGGAAAGAATAGCAACAAGAAAGAGGAGGGGAGGGAAAAAATGACCCCAGTTATCCTAACACCAGCTAGGCAACTGAGTGGTGTTACATATGACCCAGGGCTAATCACATATCTATACATAGCAGAGTGTGAACTAGTGGCACAGTTATGAACTCTGCTTCCAGGCTTCAGGGCTCCCCATGGACAAATGCTCTCAACAGGCTTCTTTTCTGAGCATATTCCCCCTTCTGCTCTTTCGCCTTATTGTTGCTGTATTCTTCTTTTTCCTCTCTCTGGGCCTGGTCCAAACCAACATGCCAGAGAGAAAGAAAAAAGCAGCCTTCTTCATTGGGTTGCTGAGTCACGTGAAGAGGGTAGAAGAATAGGCAGCAGAATCAATGAGCCAAGGCAGAAGGTTTTGAGGATTGGTGATGGGCTCTGCAGATCTCCAGTGATGGCAATACTTAATTCTGGGCCTGATATCTGTTATAAGGTAAGTGTATTGTAGTAAGACGTAGAATATGTACACTTGTAATGCGGGCAAATGTACCTCTTGATGTAGACTGTTGGTGAAAGTTAAAAAAGAAAATGCAGGATTAGTTGAACTTTAAAAAGGCAGAAATGAGCAGAGAAGAATTATAGAATTGTAACAGCAAAAAGGAAGAAACTGAAATTGATAAAGTTTTTTTTTCTATACCTTGGCTCAATCATAAATCAAAGTGAAGACTGCAGCCAAGACATCAGAAGAAGGCTGTGACTTGAAAGGGCACCTATAGAGAACTAGAAAAGATCCTTAGGTATAAGAATACGTTTCCAAGGCCAAGATCATACGGTGGTATCCTCAATTATTGTGTATGGATGTAAAGGCCAGACAAAAAGAAAGCTGATGTGGTGGTGGTGGGGAACCACAATTCATTTGAAATTTGATGTTGGAGGCAAGTTGTATAGATACCATGGAGTGCCAGGAAGACGAATAAGTGACTTCTAGGTCAAATCAAGCTTAAACTCTCACTAGAAGGTAACATAATTAAACTGAGAAAATAGTACTTGGTATATATAATATGAAGACAAAACTCACTGGGAAAGACAACAGAATATCAGAAAAAGTGGACGGAAGTAGGAGAAGAGGAAGATCTAACTTTCGATGAATTGATTCAGTAGAAGAAGCCATCAGAAGCAGCTTGATGATGTACAAAACAAGGAGTAAAATGTAATGAGAAAAGACAATGACTTAACTATAACGAATATCAATCCATGCTTACCCAAAGTTGGAGGATTTGTCAGTCTGTCAGTTTCTGACCTAGAAGTATGATTTCTAACAGAGGATTCTACCCATTCGTACAAAATTTAAGGATCAAAACAAAGTTTGTTATCCTTACATACTGCTATCAGTTTCTAAAATGCTGATGGTGTTCTATGCTACAAGATGTCAGCATAAAAATTGTTCAGAAGCTTCCAGGTAAATGGTATTTTTCAGCATTAAACGGGCTGATTCAGCACACCTGACTCCAGCAAATCACAGGCAAATATAGTGGTTGTTCTCCTAGCCTAAAGGACACAATAACTTTCATCTTAAGGCTGGTCCACAACTGTTCTTACAGACTCAAAAAGAAGGGAAATAAATGCACAAACAAACAAACAAATGATATATTGTATGCTGGTAAACAACAGCTCCCACACTATGTGTTAGTGTGCAATTTATTTAAAAAACTATGTAATGCTTTGGTATATAACACGTTTAAAACTCCCACCCCCTACCCTATCCTGAAAACTAAATGCAGGGGATGCCTTCCGCTTTTTTTGATAACTGATATGTTGCAGGGGTGTGTGTAGAGACAGCAATGAATGACTTTTTGCAACAACAACAACAAAAAAAGAGGATATAAAACCTGCAGGAGCCACAACCTTGAAATTGCTTCATTGCAAGCTGTCCCAGTGACACCAATAAGGGGTTGCACGTTTGCAGCCCTTGGCTGGCACAGCTTTGGCCTGCGCAAATCACATTCCTAAATGTTTTATATCCTAGAGAGCAGATCTTTACCAGGGAACGCTTTTAGCGTACTCTCTTAGACAGCAGTTAAGTGATCTCAAATTGACCAGCTGCATTTCCAGAGCAGCCGCCTCCTTCAGCTTTTGAAACCCATTTTCAAATGCGTGTGTCTGTCTGTGTGTATCCCCTGGCAGAAAATAATTTGCAGCTGTGATAATATCAGGTTAGGATTTTTAAAAAGGAAGAAAGAAGTGGGGAAGGCGGTGGAGAGAAAAGAAAAACACCACACTATAGCTTTACATTCAATAATAAAAGATAAAACAGGGGAGTCTGTGAATAATTAGAGGTTGCTGTCTGAAGCCAGTTGCAGTCACTGCAACTGATAATAAACTTAAACCCCCTTGAGAGCAGGTAAATGCTTTTGCAACCCTGACCCCCTAAGATCTCACATTACTTCACTACCCTGCAGCTCCAGCATTACATCACCATTCCAGTGATTGGTCCCTGCAGTTTAACTCTCTCCCTGTCTCCTCTGATTAGGCAAGGAAAGAGCAACACAAGGGGAAGAGGACAGTCGGCTGAAAGTTCTCGGAAAGTTTGGCTCTTCTTCGCCTCTACACAAGCTGGTGGTGGAGAACCCCGGTACTGCTCCACGGCAAGGCTAGATGAGGTGTGTGTCTCAGCATCATCACCCCCCCCAAAAAAAACACCCCACAAACTCTGTCGGAGTGAAAGAAAAGAAAAGGGGGTGGTTGGATGGGAAGGGAAGGAGGAGGGAGAAAAAATGTGCTGAAGGAGGAAATGAAGGCAAACCGAGAAGAGAAGGAAGATCGGGCTCGTAGTAGTGACCCAGTAGTGGAGCATAGCAGAGAGCAATCAGAAGAGGAAAATTAAAAACAAACCTCATGGACATCACTGGGTCTGAATTCCCTGCTGAGGTGCAGAACATGAGAGCCCTGGAATGAGTGTATGTAGAACCTGAGCCAAAGCTTAACTAGCCCGAGTGAGTCATATCCTTCCCATTTGATTCCAGTCCAAAAGATGATGTAATGCTCTGGCCCTCTCTCTCTCTCTCTCTCTCTCCCCTCGTTTGCTTCTAGCTTGCTCCCTCTACTCTACTCTCTCTCTCTCTGTCTCTATATACGCTGCCTGCCTCTGAGCCCCCCCCCCTTTTAGCTTGGTGCTAGTGAAGTCACCATTTAAATCTGGCAGAGCTGAAGCAAAAACTTCAATGTAACCAAAACAGCCCCAGGCGAAGTTCCAGACGCACAGAGACTTGGTGGTGCAATTGCCATTGGAAACGGGTAAACAGAGAAAGAAACAGTGCCGCCTCAGAATGGCCTGAGCAGCTGCCTGAGAGAGATCAGAGTCAAACCTCGGGAACGGGTCTGCGGGAGATGTAATGTGGGGTTCCCCCCCTCCGCAGAAGATGCTACGCACACGCTCCCACATGCGTATATACAGAGACACATTCCTGCACATTTTAGGACTGAAACAAAGGGGAGGGGAGAAGGAGTGTGTTGGGAAGCGGGGGCGCGCGAACAACTGTGAGGAAAGCAGTGATGGAAAAGACACAAGTGAAAAAAGCAGCAGAAAAACACTTTTAAGAAATGCATAGTGTCCTAGAAAGTGAGCAAAGCCATATCTGTTAAGTCTGTGGTTGGATTAAACTGGAGCATCTAGGTCTCCCTCCATTTAATAGTGCCAAATAACATAGACTCACAGAACTAATGGGATTTATTTAAAAGGTAATTATTCCAGCTGGGATTGGCCACTGGATTTAGGTCCTTGTTGAGGGTCCCATTCATATGTAACAGTCACCATCACCAAATGAAAGCCTTCAGAAGGGGCTCTGCCTGCAGACTGTAATAGGAATAGTGCTGTTTCTGAGAACTAGCATTTCTGTACAGGTGTGTGTTACCTGTGCATCACCTACCTACTCATTCATTCATTTGTTGCCGAAAGCCCAGATATCTCTTCAAACAAGTTTTGTATCACAAATAAGGCATTCCCTTATTTTTATTATAGACTCTTCTTCCTCCACCCCCCCTAAGTGGTTTTCAGTACCTTTCTGAATTTTTTATAACACAACACCTACTGTTCTGAAATGAGAAAGGTAGACTGGCGTTACAATTGGTTCACAGGTGTATTTTTTGACCTGGATAGTGACAGGATGGCATTTTGTGCATCTTTATGGTCTGCCTCCTCTCTGTTTTTATACCCACCATCCTCTATGCTTGTGACTATATTTGTTAAAACAATTATGTGTGCTTGATGTGAGTTTCAACAGTACAGTAAATCATTTGCTCTGAACCAGAATCGGCATTCCCTCCTCTTCGGGAAGCTCCTCTAGGACCTGATTGCCCCTCCCCCCAAATACCAATTACTTTGTCAGACAAGAGTAATGTAGCAGCAGTTGGGGAGGGATTAGCTGTAAGAATTATGTGATTTTATCATTTGGCACCAGGAACAGACATGAATATGCACACATGTCAACTTTGGTTTAACAGTGCTGGTCCTGCTGTCGGGGAGAGTGAGGAGGCTGCCTCCAGTTGTAAATGCTGAGGGATTCAGCCATGTGACTTCCTCTGCCCTTCTCATTAACTTGCTTTCCTCAAGTGTGCCAAAATAAGATTCTGTCACTGTTCTGCTCAGGGGTGTAGTGGGGCACCATGTTGGCCCTTCATCTCAGGCAGCAAAATTTTTGGGGTCAGCCCTGGATTTTATACAAGGCAGTTATAGCCAACGACTACTTTCCCAGCGATGTGCTGCTCAGTATTATTTCCACAGCAGTTATTGTGGAGATGAAAAATACAGGAGATAAAACAACACTATATTGATGTTTGGGAAACTAACTGTGACCACATCAACTCTAACCATTTACAGGCGAAAACCACATAAGGAATGTTCCAAGTGCCAAAGAGTAAAAGCACCTTGTGCAGATGCCATGATTTATGTAATCACAATGATCCTTTTTTTTTTCCCCCAAGACAAGGCCGTTGTATCAATTGCAGCAGCAATAGCAGTAACCCTGAATGCAGTCATTTAAGTACAGAATAAGCATCCTTGTAAAATAAATCCAATTTTTCTGGAAGGAATGGCACAAGTACAGCCAGATTTAAAGGAGCACATTATCTGATCACTGGTGATAATTTCAAATATTTTCAGTTGCCACTTTTAGCTATCCTCTAGAAAGTATAATCCAAGCAAGATAAGAAATGAGATCAAGGAGGGCATATCCTATTCTTTGGATCAGGCCACTTGAATTGATACCAGGACTGTGTACTACTGAAAATGACAGCTTTATCAAGTGAAGCAGCTCTGAATTAGAGGTGATCAGCCATAATTATTACTGGCGCCACTGAAGCTAGCAGCTTGACAGTCTCATATGTAGTTGTTATAAAGTTTGGTTCATTGTGTCATTGGCCTGTATAACTCATTTATGTCTGAATGACCAGTTATTGATTTCCCATCTTCTGTAACATAATAAAAAGAAGTTTAATCACCCCAAAGCTTTCTTTTATTTCCAGGCATTACAAGCTATTTTAACTCAACAACATACAGAAGCATCTCTAATTTTTATTTCCTAGCCACACTGGGAAATACATGGCAGGATATAAATTTTACGAATAAAATAATAAATACAACAACTGCATGTGTTTTCTCAGGGGGGAAAGTTACAGCTCTTCAGTTCTAATTGTTTTCTGACAATGTTCTTATGAATGTAAGAACTGAATAAAATAACCAAGAACTTGAATATTTTGTTATGAAAGGAAATAATTAAACAACTGAAAAAGAAAGGGGGTCTCAACACATTGACACTTCCTGTCAAAAAAAATGACAACTACTGCAAGATTTTTTGCTCCCTCATAATATCAGCATCATCTGCAGGGAAAAAATTTGCACAAAATACATTTTTGCACACACAAAAACACCATTTCTGCAAAAACTTTCATGGCAAAAAAGAGCCTGAAATGTGGAAAACATACCAAAACACTTGTGCTCTCACCCAGCATGGAGAAAACTGTCAAAATTATTGGTTCTCACCCATGAGAATGAAATAAGCAATGATTTGCATTCCTTAAAACTACAATAAGAGCAAAACCACTAGGTGGGATTCTACATACTGCTTGAATTGTGGAATCTTCCCTTCTTTTCTTTCTCCATGTCTATTGGGGATCCCTGATTTTTGGGTGAAGGGAGGCAGAAATCAAATCCATTGTATTTAGAATCATGGAAGACTTCTACTGTTTTCCATCAATGGAAGACTTCCACAATACCTAATGCCATCCATTAAAAACATAACTTTAATCTGAATATACCCTCCAGCCTTTCACAGAAGAAGACCGGGACCTCCATGTGACACTCTTCTATCAAAACAAAAGATCACTGCCTGAGCTTGCCCAACCACATCACACAGGGAGGAAAATTGTACTCTGTGCATTCAGTGCTGTATTTATTTATTCTGCAGCAGCCTGTCCTAAGCTGATTTTAAATGCCAAGCTACTGTTTGTTCTTTTGGTTAAAGATATGCTAGAAGACTATAATTGTCAGCCACAGTTCAAAATACACATCAGCACTTGTAGCAACTCTACAGTGTCTTCAGTGACCCATCAGTATGCATTTGAATTAGAGATGGGCGTATTTGAATTTGTATATGAATACCCCCGCACAGGTGAAGATAACAAGGGTCCAACCCCCTGGGGCTAGACTGTCCACTCAGCCTTCCACTGCTGTCACAGGCTCCGTGCTCCCTTCCAATTGCTCCGGAGCACCTGGTCTACGAGCCACTCTTCAACCTGCCAAGAAGGCTTATTGTCCTGCCTCCTGCCAGAAGTTGTTAGCCAGTCATGAGCTCCAGAGCGATAGGAAGGGAGTCTGGAACTCGCAGCAGCAGTGGAAGGGTGAGTGGACAGTCCAGCCCCAGGGGGCCAGACCTTTGTTAACTCCACCTGTGTGGGGGTAGTTGTATACAAATTTGAATACTCCCTTCTCTAATTTAGATGCATTTCCTTGGGAAATTGCTTTTTGAACTACAGCTCTTAAGATTCTTCAGCCAGCATGCCAACAACTTTCAAAAAAACAACTTTGCCAAGTTCTCTACCTTCATATGTTTGCCTCTACAATTACGTTACCTCCAGTAGAAGGTAAATGAGAGACTGAGATGGATGCTGTATCTGTCTCAGATAAACTCAGAAAAGTTATCAGAAATCTTCCAAATCTAGGGGAAGATCTCAGGGCATTCTTCAGTTACTGTGAAACAAGGTTAGAGTGCAACATACCTCTAGTGTATACAACTGTAGTCCAGTTTCTTCTTGTTTAGTTTTACTTGCACAGTCTTTTCTATGTGTGTGTTTAGTCGTTTAGTCATGTCCGACTCTTCGTGACCCCATGGACCAGAGCACGCCAGGCCCTCCTATCTTCCACTGCCTGCCGGAGGTCTGTCAATTTCATGTTGGTTGCTTCGCAGACACTGTCCAGCCATCTCATCCTCGGTCGTCCCCTTCTCCTCTTGCCGTCACACCTTCCTAACATCAAGGTTTTTTCCAAGGACTCTTTTCTTCTCATGAGATTGCCAAAGTACTGGACCTCAGCTTCAGGATCTGTCCTTCCAGTGAGCACTCAGGGTTGATTTCCTTTAGAACTGATAGGTTTGTTCTCCTTGCAGTCCAGGGGATCCTCAAGAGCCTCCTCCAGCACCACAATTCAAATTCTTTTGCTGCTTATTGTTTAACCAATTGGTCTTGCCAAAAGTTGCTGCTAGTATGCACTATAGATGCATCAGACACAGAAGGGCTCTTCCATTTTCACAGAATAAGCCTTTGGAGAGAGCTTTGCCCCCAGTGACCATGTCAAAGGGAGGCCCGTGGGGCACCACTCCTCCACTTGAGGGCTAGGAAGAATGGTCAAGCACAGACTTCTTCCAGCAGAGAATCATATACAACAACGTGGAAAGCTAGTGATCCAACATAAAAGAATTATTTCTTCATGTCCATTAAATATTGTGTACTAAGGAGTTTTACTGAAGTGTCTTCAGAGGGAGAACAAGACCAGAATTGATGTCTCCTACTGTTGACGTTGGCTTCCATTTCACTAGCTACCCTCCCTTCCCCTACCATTCCA